CGCACACCGCCTAGCGGGCCAGTGGCTCCATCGCTGGGTCCATTTGTCTGCTTCCCCTTGCTTCGGTGGCCGATTTTCCTCCCGCCGCACTCCTCCTTCATCAACCATTACTATCTCTCTTCCCGATCTTACTTGCATAGACTGATTGTATGTAAGCTCTGATCCTTCATAATCCATCCGGACTGCTGTTAAGGCTCCGCTAGGTACTGCTTATCTTGAGAAAAGAAATCACAGTAATCACGAAACATACAAGCAGTGGCACTCCCATGGCCCAGGTTCCCCCTTATGCTTCCCACATCCAACCCTAGCTAGGCAACTCCATTCTACGAATGCAATTAACCTAGCTTGCAATCCAGATCTTCACTCTGCCTGCTCCAGCTGGCGGCAGTGACTTCCGCCTCCTTCTGGACTCGGTGTCTGCAAGACAAGCGAAAACAAACACATGTATACCACACAAACATCACACTCGCCAACCCACCCCCACGCCCTTCTGCCTACTCAGTTACCACTCCACCCGCCTCGCCCAGTTCGCCGCCCCTAGCTATTTCTCACCCCACTGTTTCCCGCACAGCCGAGTTACCCGCCCTCGCTTCCCACTGGCCCTCACCGGCCTTCCTTGTACTCGCTGCTCAGCCCTTCGATTATATACAAAATGTACAGGGTCCTCCATTACACCCGCGCCAAAGCCCTTTGTCAGAACTACTTAGGTGATCACCTCAAAATTCTGACACCCGCGGCGATCATCAGCGACCGCGACACGAAATTTACCAGCAACTTCTGGCGGAACCTGTGGCAGCAGTTCGGCACGCGAATGCAATTCAGTTCAACGTACCACCCCGAAATCGATGGTCAAACAGAGCGAACCAATCAGACCATGGAGCAGTTAATCCGAGCCACGTATGACTACCCGACAACTTGGGAGTAGCAGTTGCCACTCATCGAGTTCGCATACAACAACTCGACGTCAGCAACGACGCAGCAGTCCCCCTTCTACCTCGACTATGGACAAAACCCCACCGTGCCCATAACGTCGAACCTCGACAACCCGGTCCCACGTGCGCATCAGTTCGGCGAGATTTTACAAGCAGCCCGGACTCGGGCATCAGAGGTCATAAAAAACAAAAAACAAAAACAAAAAACAAAAAAAAAGGCATCGCTAAACCCAACGCCGATCGCCACCGCCGCCCCGTCACTTATCAGCCCGACGACCTTGTACTACTCGACACCCAGAACCTCCGCCTGACGATTACACCGAAACTCCGCCCCCGATACTGTTGGAGGTGGACACTGGAATGGCCCGAAGTGGTCTCCCTAAGGGCTACAGGTATCGTCTTGGGGGGTATGGGTGCACTGACCCACCAAAGAAACATGCCCTTTTATCCCAGTTGGTTAGCGGACTGGAATGCTATCCTTGCATGGTGCGGTGAACGTGGAGGACCGGGGTTCGATTCCTGCTGTTGGCGACTTCCTGTGCCCTAGTGGTGGGCCCTCCCAGTGAGGGGAGTGTTGGAGGTGGACACTGGAATGGCCCGAAGTGGTCTCCCTAAGGGCTACAGGTATCGTCCTGGGGGGTATGGGTGCGCTGACCCACCAAAGAAACATGCCCTTTTATCCCAGTTGGTTAGCGGACTGGAATGCTAGCGGACTGGAATGCTATCCTTGCAGATATTGTAGGCCATTTCGCATCAGCCACATGATAACGCCCGCCACCGCCCACCTCCTCCTACCCGCTAACTCGTACATCAGCCCATCGTTCCACGTCAGCCTCCTCCGCCCTTACGTCCCATCCACAATCTAACTGCCTCGCAACCACCCGTCGAGCATGACACGACCACCCACAAAACCGACCATCAACCCCGAGAAAATCTTGAGCCATTGCGTGCGAGACCTACGTGGTGCCCGTCGAATCGAATTTCTGATACGGTGGAAAGACCATACACCCACGGAAGACAATTGGGTACCTCTGGATAAAATCGAAAATCATCACGTCCTCACCAAGTATCTGCGCAGCAGTAATTTCCGGGATGTACACGCACTCTCGTAAGGGAAGCCTTCTTGGGGAGGGGGGTAGTGTAAGGAAAATTCATTTTCTTTACTTCGCGCCGCTTACCGCGTACGCGACTGTTCCCGCCAACAGCACCCCACAGTAAAACGTTACCGCTCGCGACACTTGTTCAAGCCACTGTTACCATCGCGACCCAACCTCACGGTTCGGTTGGTAACCCGCGCTCCGGCCCTCCGCTTCGACAATTCCCAACCTCGGCGCCAGGCCCGTCACGCACCCCACATTTCGCGCGTTACCGTTACCACGCTAGTTCGCTATATAACATTCGCTCATTCCTTCGCTCGATGTACTGTTTTGCTTCAATAGTGCAATCTTCGTCCGCTCACTCAATTGCACTCATAACAATACGCGTGAAATTACCATTTTACCTGACTGTTAGAGAGTTTTTTTTACCATCAATGTTACGGGGGCCCTTTTTTCTTACTTCGCTCATATTTCCCCATGAAAAAAACAATGCGTTGAAAGCGCATTGTTTCTGCGCGCGACAATGGGCAGAAACCCTGCGCCAGAAGCGACAGAACTACACATTTGTCGCGTAGTTTCAGTAACCGTGCTGTGCTGTATCAACTGTAAACCCTCATTTCAATGCTGCCGCCAACCTGTCTGCCAGCTACAGTATGACATTCGTGACTTCGTAACAACTGACTTATCAACTAAGGTTGGGCGTCGCCGAGCGCTGGAGGTATGCACGAGAGTAACACCATCCAGTCGTAGAGGGTCGCACAAGGTGGTCCCAGGCTGGTTGCCAGTCAGGTGGTTTACCACTTTTTTGAAACCAATCCCCATTATTCAAACTTCGTCCGCCGTCAACTTGATACAGTAGTTCGGGACGTGGCGATGTGCTGGATGTGGAATGTTTAGTGCTCCGGCGATTTCAGAACCATGACACCATCCGAACGGCAAGAATAACTGATTGGGCATTTATCTTAGCGGTAACACTCATGGAGCTCGAACGCACGCGAGGTAAGCCACGTTTCCAAATCGTAACAGAGATGTCTTCTCATCGCCACCATGGTAACCAGCATTGCCGAGATGGTCAACATTATTGCCTCAATCGTAATGAACACTGCATCCGGAAATCCTGGCTGGTAACTTCGCGTTCCAACCAAACTGTACACCGTACAAGTCAGGTTTGACTCAGCAAAACGAAACTGACTGTCCACGTATACACCCACAGAATGCGCAATTCTGTTTATAATACCAGCGCTTACAAACGCAAAACGTTACATGCACGTATTCGAAATAATTTCCTATCACTATTACAGCAAGCATCTTACGAACACTCTGGAGAAACAAATGTAGCCTGACTTATATCACTATTTCCTGACTTACAGCCCTAACTGATTTCTGCCGGACGGGACAGGAGAGGTCGCTCGCCAAAAGCACACATTGCCCGTAACCCGCGAGCCATTGGAACCCGCTATTGAACCCTGACAGTGATGTTTAGGGCGTGTTTAGTTTATTCTAGGTCGGGAACAGGTCGACTCTGTCTGGTTACTAGCTTAGTTAATTTCGCAAAAACCGTGTGACGAAAAACACCCTTTGAACACATGGCAAATGCGACCTAACTTTTCCGAACTGACTCGAGTCAACGCATAAATGCGGGCGCGTACAGTGAACCGAACGTGTGTTGTTTTGCGCACGTACGACGAGTGGCGAATTTTGCAACACCTCCGCGACGCAATAAAACCTCCGCCGAAAACCACAGTCAGTATGTTGACGTGGCGCGATGTCTACGGAATTATACCTGGTAACCTAAATCCCTTTGGTTACGACCATTTAATATAACTTAAAACTGGTTACCGACATCCCCTACGAGCGGCTCGGCGCACCCCCTATAAGGTCGAACATTCAAATTCGACCTTGGGTGTGTGATTGACCTACCTGAAAACGTCATGCGCGGTTCAAACTTCACGTTCAGCGGAAGTCCAACACTGTTCGGCTCAAGTTTAAATGCTACATTCGACAAAAACAAATGTTTCTTAGCCAATTTCAAAAATCACACACGCCCTTAGTTTATCGCTAGTACACCTGCGAGTCGGCACCGCCCTAATACTAGAAACGGACCGAGACTTAATATAGGTACGCGATACCGTATTGGCGTGACGCTAGGGACGTCTCAGAACACTTTGCGAAGAGCTGCTACAACTTGGTTGAACCACCATCGACAGTGCCGCAAATACCCACAACGCCTCCAAGGCGTGCGGCCTGATTGTTTACTTGCTGCTGCTTCTGGGCGCCTCAAAAGCTCATTGGAGGTCCTCTGTTGCTGACACCATGCGGCATTCTCCCTTTCAGCTCGCTCGTCAGCCGTCGCACACCGTCGCTCTCCGCTCGTCGCTCATCGTCGCTCGCCGCTCGTCGCATCTCCTCCTTCTCCTGCTCCTTGCCCTCACTCTCGCAACCCGCCTTGCTGCTGCATCTGGTGCGACGAAATCCAAGCTCTTTCCCTCTCTCCTTCCCATATCAAAGAAGGTCTTTTCTAAATCTGTCCTCAGGGCCTCTTTCCGGCCTTTGACTTCAACCCCATCCCGGAAGTGTCCACAAAGATCCTTTCAGGGCGGAAAATGTTACCCACCAAATTGTTTTGGGATGGGGTCAAAGGCCGAAAATAACCTATGCGGGCGGATTCGGGACTGACCTTTTTTAAGATTCTCTCCCCTCTTCCCTTCTCCATTCTCCCCACTCCCTCTCCCCTCTCGCCTCCCCTCTCCCCGCTTCCTTCCTCTCAACTCTCGCATTGCTCGTTCCATCAGAAAAATGTAGAACTGCCGAGAATGGGGGGGGGGGGGAAGGGGTCCTTTTTCGAGTTGGGAGGCCGGTCGACTAAACATCTATTGTATAGTTGTCACCCCTCTCTCTCCCCTTCTCACACAATTGCATGCAACCTTTTTTCTCTGTTCGCACCGCCATTGGCATGGATCTTCCAATGCAGATGACGAGGCCTCGTCTCCACCGCCATTGGATTTCTTCCATTGGCTTTTTGGTTCATCGGCTAAATCAACGGCGGGCGTTGTTCCGGAGCCGTATCCGAAGCTAGATGCAGCTTCAGGTTCCAAGCCTGACCCCAGCTTTGACGCTGAACCTGCCACCGAGCCTTCTGCTGACCCTGCCGCCGAGCCTGCTTCTGCAAGCAAATCAAGTGAGTGACAAACTTTTGTGTCTCCATTGAAAAGCGACTCCAACCTATCTTATCCGCCATTCTCTTGTACCAATTACTTTATTGCTCCCTCTAAAGCTCTCTTACATCCATCCGTCCACCCACACCCACCCACCCACCCACCCACGCATCCACCCATCCATCCACCCATCCATCCGCCTTTCCCCCCTCCCCTTATTCCGCCCTCCTCCCTCTCCCTGCGTCAACCCCTTCCACCAGACATTCCCTTCCAATGGTTCTGCCCCCGCAACACTTCAACTCAAGCAATGTCCTAATCGATGTGTGCTATTCCCCTCCGCATGGCTCTCCTTCTGCCTCTGTCCGCCTCTTCCGCCATTCACTGTGTCCGGTTACCCCCTTCTCCAGGTGGCATCCTCTGGTCATGGGTCCGCGTATGCAATGTTTCTTGCTTCAAGCATGAGCAAGAGAATATGTCTTATGCTACCGCCAACCTTCCGCCCATCCTCCCCTCTTCACCACCTCCATCCCCTTCCCCAGACGACACCCCCAGCCCATGGTTGTGCCCCTGCAATAACTGCCACTTTCGCAATGCGTGTACCTTCCTCCTCCCCCCTGCGCCCTTCCGCCCCCTTCCCCCAGACGACGCCCCCCGTCCATGGGTGTGCGCCTGCAGTTCCTCCTTCAACCCTTCGGCCACCACACAGCCTGACAGCTCCCTCCCCGCTATAGACATCTTTTTTAAGGGCGAGTTTGGGTACGAGCTGATTGCAGTGCTGCCGTACGCCTACTGGCATTTCCTCAACGGCACTCTCAGATCCACCAGGTCTTGTGCTACCCCCCTCTCCCTCCTCTATTATTTCAGCCCAAACCACTCCACAGACCCAAACTGTTTGCGCTCGACCAATGAGGATCCGATGATTAAAGAATATGGATTCACCAAGGGCCTTCATAAAAGTGACATTCCGCAGTATTGGCATCCCCCGCCGATAGTGCACCGGACACGGGAGCTGGGGCGGGTATGGCTGGATGTTCCTATACGGGGGGCTCCACTTGTTATTATAAGCAACAAGTACGAGACTGAATGGTCGGGACCCCCCGTCAACTTCATCGATGTCCCGACTCTCCTTTTAATCACGCGCAAGTTTCTCAATAAGGGGTATTTTGTGGTGTATAACCGGCCTGGACAGTCGATCGAGGCTGACACAGGGCAACGAGCAAGGTTTGACTTGGGGGACCACGCGAGGCTGGATGAGGAGTTTGGTTCGGAGGCTCGGTTCCGAACCATGCAGCAGATTCGCGAGGATTGGCCGAGCCTAAGTTTCAACGAAGTTCAGTTTAGAATGATGGCTCGAAGCTCCTGTTTTGTAAGTGTGCAAGGAGGCAATTCTATTCTGTCTAGTTATTGGGGTGGCAAAAATATCATTTACTTTCGCAGGGGGTTGGAAGGCCCGAATAGGGCGTATGACAGGATATATCATAGACTGTCGGGGGCAAAGATAGAGGTAACTAAGACGTATGGAGTGCTGCTGTGGAGAGTACTGGATATGATTAAGGAGGATCGCTGTCAATCGGTGTAACACTATTCGTGAGGCGCTACAAGGCTATAAAGTGTCACCACCTACCGTACGTTCCTTTAGTGGCTTTTGACATTAATCTTGCACTATCTAGGCTTTTGACATGTTTTATGTAATTGTTGATGTTACCGGTACATGGTCCCATCTGTCAAATTGCATTTGTTATCTCTAGGCTGTAGTGAGCCATACTCCAAGGAGTACAACACCTTAGGTCATTCCTAGTACTTGTACTCACTCTTCCCCACTAGTCGATCATTCCTGCTTTAGTATTCTGACATGGTATTCAGAGCAGGTCCCTCCGTAGGACCGCTCCGTTAGGGCCCACCAACCGTACGTACTGCCCCAGGAGCTACTGCCGTCGTCGCGCGCTGCCCTGCTCGCCGCGCGCGCGCTTTGCCCTGCCCAGTACGCCGTCGCGCTGCAACCCTGCCCTGCCCAGCGCTATCGCGCTGCCCTGCCCCGCGCTGCCCCGTCGCGCAATGCTCTGCTGCTGCGCGTGCTGCGCTGCTGCTCGTACTGCCCTGCTCGCCGAGCGCTGCCCTGCTCGCCGCGCGCTGCCCTGCTCGCCGCGCGCTGCCCTGCTCGCCGCGCGCTGCCCTACTCGCCGCTCGCTGCCCTGCTCGCCGCGCGCTGCCCTGCTCGCCGCGCGCTGCCCTGCTCGCCACGCGCGTGCCCAGCGCCCGCGCGCGCCCCGCTGCCCAGCGCCCGTGTGCGCCAGCGCCCGCGCGTGCCCCGCTGCCCAGCGCCCCTGCGCGCCCTTGCTGCCCTGCGCGCCCGTGCGCGCCCTTGCTGCCCTGCGCGCCCTGCTGCCCTGCCCTGCCCGAAGCGCGTCGCGCTGCCCTGCTGCCCGTGCGCTGTGTCGCGCTGTCGCGAGCCCCGCTGCCCGCCAGCTGCCTGCGCCCGAACTGCGCCATGCACGCGCGCAGCTTGCGCCCTGCCCGCACGCGCGCTGCCCACGCGTTGCCTACGCGCGCCCTACCCGCACGCACGCTGCCGAAGCGCGCTCTGCCCGCACGCACGCTGCCTACGCGCGCCCTGCCCGCACGCGCGCTGCCTACGCGCGCCCTGCCTGCACGCGCGCCGCCTATGTGCGCCCTGCCCGCACGCGCGCTGCCTACGCGCGCCCTGCCCTGCTGCCCACGCCCCGCCACGCTTCAGTTCGCGCGCCGCCCTGCCCTACAGCCCGTGCGCTGCCCTGCCCTGCAGCCCGCGCGCTGCCATGCCCTGCCACCCGCACGCTGCACTGCCCTGCTGCCCGCACGCCCTGCAGCCCGCGCGCTGCCTTGCCCGTGTAGCCCTGCAGCCCGCGCGCCGCCCTGCCCTGCAGACCGCGCGCTGCCCTGCCCTGCAGCCCGCGCGCCGCCCTTCCCTGCCCTGCAACCGGAGTCTGGCGGTGGACAGCAGAAGCAGTGTCAGCCGGAGACTCTATCGCCGCAGCAACTTCGCGAGTGGGTTGTTCGGCGAGGCCGCTCTGGTCCTGGAGCTTGGGATTTCACGCGTGCTGGCGGTACTGGACAGCAGCGGCAGTCTCGTCGCCAGGAGAGTCTCTCGCCACAGCAGCTTCGTGAGTGGGTTATTCAGCGAGGCTGTCCTGGTGGTGGAGGTTATGGTGCTGGAGGTACTGGACAGCAGCGGCAGCAGCGTCAGCAGGAGACCCTCTTGCCGCAGCAGCTTCGCGAGTGGGATTCTCAACAACACGTCCTTAGTAGTGAAGAGGCTACTAGTCTAGGTGCCTGTGAGCCTGGTAGCACAGGTGCAGTTTCTGTAGAGGCTTTGCATACCTTCACACTTGACTCAGGCGCGACTCGTTGCTTCTTCCGCAACTGCACCACAGTCACACCGCTCACTACACCTGTCCCGGTCTCTCTGGCTGACCCCTCTAGAGGCCCAATTGTAGCACGTGCCTCCACAGTTCTCCCGTGTCCGGCAGCCCCCTCAGGCTCCCTCACAGGTTTCCACCTCCCCTCGTTCTCTAAGAACTTGGTGAGTAACGTTGTCCTCCAGAACCAGTTTGTCACTGTGACTACTCATGGGGGTGAGCTTGTGCCGATCTGTACGGACTCACGCACTGGCGAGCACCTCGCCACGTTCACCCGGAGGCCTGGGTCTTGCCTGTACACAATGACTAAAAAATCTGCACAGGTGGCTGCGTCAGGTCAGGTGGCTGAGTCGGGTCAGTTAGCCGCGTCTTGTTCGTGTCGGCTACTCTCGCACCAGACTCTCCTCTGGCACCACCGTCTTGGTCACCCCTCCCTGCCGCGCCTCCGTGTCATGCACTCGCGGCTCCTTGTCTCTGGCCTCCCCAGGTCCCTGCCCTCACTCCCACGCTCGCTTGCACCGCTGTGCCTTCCGTGCGTCGAGGGGCGGCAGCGCGCCGCTCCTCACTCCTCCCCGTTTCCGCCGACCACTGCTCCTCTGCAGACTCTCCACATGGACGTGTGGGGCCCAGCCCGCGTCCGTGGACAGGACCAGGAGCGCTACTTTCTGCTGGTTGTTGACGACTACACGCGCTAGACCACGGTCTTCTCCTTGCGGAGCAAGGCGGAGGTTCGCGGTATTTTTATCGACTGGATCATCGCCTTTCGTTGCCAGCTGAGCGCGCAGTATCAGCAAGACCTCCAGGTCCTGCGACTGCACTCTGACAGAGGCGGTGAGTTTTCCTTTGGCCTCCTTTGGGACTTTTGTCGTGCGGAGGGCATCGCCCAGTCGTTCACGCTTCCGGCCTCTCCACAGCAGAATGGGATTGCTGAGCGTCGCAGGCTTGGTCATGGAGGTTGCTCGCACCTCCATGATCCATGCGGCTGCTCCCCATTTTATGTGGCCGTTTGCGGTCCGGTACGCGCGCATCAACTCAACCTCTGGCCCAGTGTCTTTGTGCCAGAGACCTCGCCTATACTGCGTTGGACGGGGGAGGTTGGCGATGCGTCGGCGTTTCGGGTCTGGGGCGCGCTCTCCCTTGTCCGCGATACCACCGCTGGCAAGCTCTCTCCTCGCACTCTCCGCTGCATCTTCCTTGGCTTCCCCACCGACGCCCCGCCCTGGCAATTTTACCACCCTGCCTCGCGCCGCGTCCTGTCCTCACATGACGTCACCTTTGACGAGTCGGTCTGCTTCTACCGTCTCCACCCGCACATATCCTCCCCACTCTCCCCGCCGCCCCTCTTCTTGGTCTCAGGTCCCGTCCCGGTAGACCCCCTCCCCCTCAGGGTCCTGCTCCCTCAGGTGTGTCTCAAGTCAACCCACCCCCCTTGGTTGAGACTTTGGAGGTCTCCTCTGACACCTCTGGCCCAGCTGAGGGGGGTGACCCCTCTGCTGACGACACGGCGGCCACTCGCCGCTCCCCGCGTTTGGAGTCCCCTCCCGGTTTTCCGCCTCGGCCGTCTTCGCCGCCTCCGCAGCCTGTCGCTGTGGACTCTGGTGCTGCTGGGGGTGGTGACCCTGAGGGTG